ACTAAGGGGGGATATGATAGAGGTATATAAAATCATGAGTGATGTAGAGAAAGTAAGTAAGGAAAAGTTATTTACTTGTTCCCATAATACAAGAACTAGGGGCCACCAAATGAAATTAATGGGCAGCAGGTTTAAAACAAATAAAAGGAAGTTCTTCTTCACACAGCGCACAGTCAACTTGTGGAACTCCTTGCCTGAGGAGGTTGTGAAGGCTAGGACTATAACAGCGTTTAAAAGAGAACTGGATAAATTCATGGAGGTTAAGTCCGTTAATGGATATTAGTCAGGATATTAGCCTGGCCTCTGTTTGTCAGAGGGTGGAGATGGATGGCAGGAGAGAGATCACTTGATCATTGCCTGTTGGGTTCACTCCCTCTGGGGCACCTGGCATTGGCCACTGTTGGTAGACAGGATACTGGGCTAGATGGACCTTTGGTCTGACCCAGTATGGCCATTCTTATGTTCTTATGACTTTAGCAAACTCAGGGAGTTGGTAGATAAGATCCCATGGGAAGCAAGGGTAAGGGGAAAAACAGTTCAAGAGGGTTGGAAGTTTTTCAAAGAGACATTATTAAGGGCACAAGAGCAAACTATCCCACTGTGTAGGAAAGATAGAAAGTTTGGCAAGAGACCACCCTGACTTAACCAGGAGATCTTCAATGATCTGAAACTCAAAAAAAGAGTCATATAAAAAGTGGAAACTAAGTCAAAATAATATAAACAAATAAACAAAAGATTATAAACAAATAACACAAGTATGGAGGGACAGAATTAGAAAGCCCAAGGCACAAAATGAGATTAAACTAGCTAGAGACATAAAGGGTAACAAGAAATCATTCTACAAATACATTAGAAGTAAGAGAAAGACCAAGGACAGGGTAGGCCCATTACTCAATGTGTGGGCGGAGGGACAAAAATGTGGAAATGCCAGAAGTGCTAAATGACTTTTTTTTTTTCAGTTTTAACCAAAACATTTAGTAGCAATTGGACATCTAACTAAATGCAGGTGAAAATGAGGTAGGATCAGAGGTTAAAATAGGGAAAGAACAAGTTAAAAATTACTTAGGCAAGTTATATGTTCAAATCACCAGGGCCCAATGAAATACATCCTAGAATACTCAAGGAGCTAACTAAGGAGGTATCTGAGCAATTAGTGATTATCTTCAAATAATCATGGAAGACAGGATTGATTCCAGAGGACTGGAAAAGGGCAAATATAATGCCAATCTTTAAAAAGGGGAATAAGGACAACCTGGGAAATTACAGACCAGTCAGCTTAACTTCAGTACCCAGCAAACACCTAGAATAAGGTGGTAAGTAACAGCATGGATTTGCCAAGAACAAATCATTTCAAACCAACCTAATAGCTTTCTTTGACAGGGTAGCAAGCCTTCTGGATACGGAGGAAGTGGTAGATGTGGTATATCTTGACTTTAGTAAGGCTTTTGATACTGTCTTGTATGACCTCATAAACAAACAAGGGAAGTACAAAGGTGGGTGCATAAGCTTCCCGCAGCTCCCATTGGCTGGGAATGGCGAACCGCGGCCACTGGGAGCTGCAGGCGGCCGTGCCTACGGACGGTCAAAGTAAACAATCTGTCTCGTGGCCCGGCAGCGGATTACCCTACATTTCTAGGATTCTATTATTACAGTCTGTAAATACCTACATGGGGAAAATATTTAATAATGTGGTCTTCTGTCTGGCAAAGAAAGATATAACACTATCCAGGGCTGAAAAGTTGAAACTAGGCAAATTCAGACTGGAAATAAGTTGTAATTTTTTAACAGTGAGAGTAATTAATCGTTGGTGCAATTTACAAAAGGTCATGGTGGATTCTCCATCACTGACAATTTTTAAATCAAGATTGGATGTTTTCTAAAAGACCTGCTCTAGAAGTTATTTTGGGGAAGTTCTATGGCCTGTGTCATGCAGGACGTTAGACTAGATGATCAAAACGGTTCCTTCTGTCCTTAGAATCTATGGAATAATAATAAATAAGCCTCTGCCTTTTTTTAAAATGGCCTCTGTTGCACTTTTATTAACTTGTGTGATGAGCATCACTAGCTTGCAATCTGAATATCATTGGCTTCAGATAGCAAAGAGTCTTTAAGGACACAATTTGTACAGTATGTGACATAATCAGACACACTCACTCATGGGGGAAAAAATCATCCAAACTCCCTATGAATATGTTGAGAGCAAAAGCCCGACAGCACGACATTGAAAAAAATATTGATTGAAACCCAAAAAGTCAATATTTTTCTTTTGCAAAAGGCACTTTGCCACATAAGAGAACAGATTGTAACATAGGGCTTGTCTACACTACCGCGGTAGTTCGACGGCTGGAAATCGAACTTCCGGGTTCGATTTATCGCGTCTGGTCTGGACGCGATAATTCGAACCAGGAAGTGCTCGCCGTCGACTGCGGTACTCCACCTCAGCGAGAGGAGTACCGCGGAGTCGACGGGGGAGCCTGCCTGCCGCGTGTGGACCGCGGTAAATTCGAACTAAGGTATGTCGACTTCAGCTACGTTATTCACGTAGCTGAAGTTGCGTACCTTAGATCGAATTGGGGTGTTAGTGTAGACCAGGCCATACACATTTGAATAGAGAAATACATAGGGAAGATAGTTGGACTGAACTTGTCAGTGTGCAGAAACTGTTTTCTGTAGGCGCAAAAACTGCAGATTGTTCCTCACTGGAGCTAACTAAAAACTAAAAGCTAGTTTTAAACTTGCACATAGAACACCAACATGGGCCTGATTCCAGTGTCACTAATGTGTGTAAATCAGAATGATGTCCATTGAAGCCAATGAAATTACACCTATTTAGATTAGAACTGGCATGGGAACATTTCAGCATGAGGCTCTCTTAGTTTATAAAGCCCTGAGTTTGTTGTACCAGAGACTAGACTTGTCAATCAATGACATTATAGTGGTTCATTTTGTTTCTCTGTTTTAGTCATGTTGTCCACTGTATGTTTTTTAATCCATCCTCTCTTATATGCTAGTGGTTGCCACCAGAACCTTCTGTCTGCAAGAAGAGAAAGTGGGAAACAATAATGATTTTGCAAATGGCGTGCTGCTGGAGATCAGGTTTAGCCTTCAGTAGTCAGAAAGTTTGTTCCATCTATTGTCTGATTCTGGTATGTGTAGTTTTGCCAACAGTGTCCAAATTGACTGTAAATGCTGGTTGGCAGCATTCACGGGGACACTTGTAGGTAGTTTCATGCTGAAAATTTACTGTATTTGTTACATTTTAACAACTTTTCTGGCATTTGGTCTTCCAAGCAACAGCTGTTTGAAGATCCCATGGCACAAACTTGGTCTCCAAGTTGCCTTTTTAAATGAACATGTGCACTGTACAAATCTAGTTCACCTTACATTACAAAAATAACAAACAAATACATAAAATAATGAATCATGAAATGCTTAATTTGTACCTGCTTTCAGACGCTTGGGGGTTTGGGGAAGGACAAAATGGTCATTTTATAAAAGGCTACATTTTATATTAGTGGGCACAGGAAGTTAATTTGTAGAGGTTTATCCTACACAAAATGCCAGCGTGGTTTGTTGCATGTGTAAGCCCATAGTAAAACATGGTGAGTGAGACACAGGTCTGAAAAGTGTTATTGGTAAAGATTCTGATCTGAAGCCCATTGAAGTTAAACTGGGGAATACTCCTAGAACTGGTAATATCTCTAGAAACAAAATGAATTTTTTAAGGGTGCGCATTTGAAAATGTGGAGGATTTAACTACATATTCAGAGCAGTAGGTCTCCTTTAGCGACCTCCCTTGATGTGATGCTAGCTACTTACCATTTTATTACTTAATTTGTAAAACAAGAAAGTTGCTAACATTAAGGTATCCTCCCTTTGTTGATCCACTACTTAATAGAGGCTTAAGTCAGTTCATCTGATTTCATCTATGATATTTCAGAAGGGTGTTACTTTGTAGACTAGCATTGTGACAGCTAATAGCGCAAATGCTGTTAACACAAAATATGTATTTTATTACACTGTGTAAAATCATCTCTTGATTGGGGGAAAGAGTGTGCTTTTAGGTAACATTTGGTGTATCTGGTTTTTAATGGGAGGTTTGGGCCCAAATCCTGAAAGGAAATCAATGGAAGTAATGAGCCTACATCCTTGAGAATCTGGGTCTTAGACTCTCAGAATTTTAGGGGACACTGAAGTTATATCACTGATTTGCAGTTCTCCAGTAACAATGAGGGAACCACAGAAGAACAACATTCATCACTGGCTAAATCTTTCCCCTTGAGCCAGGCCTGAGTGGCCAGGTTCTTTGTAGCTATCTAATCTATCTTTTTGTATGGTGCCCATCATCAGAGTAGCCGAGTGCCTCATTTGAGCAAAGATTGCTATAGGTCAGGGATTCTCAAACTTCATTGCACCACGACCCTCTTTGAAAACAAAAATTACTTCATGACCCCAGAAGGGGGGACTGAAGCCTGAGCTCACCCAATCCCCACTGCCCCGGATGGGGGGGCCAAAGCCCGAGCCTCACCGCTCTGGGCAGGGGGGTCAAAGCTGAAGCTCAAGGGTTTCAGCTCCAGGCAGGGGGCCTGCAACCTGAGCCCCGCCGCCAGGGCTGAAGCCCTTGGGCTTTGGCTTCGGCCCTGGGTAGTGGCACTTGGGCTTCAGCCCCGGGCCCCAGCAAGTCTAACCAAGCTCTGGTGACCCCATGCAAAGGGAGTCCCGACCCACAGTTTGAGAACCGCTGCTATAGGTGGTTTCTGTGGGGGAAGGAATCCTCCTCTGCCAGACGACAGAGTGGCAGTGGAGTAACAACTTGGTCACTATACTAGTCCTGAGGCAAACCTGCTGGTGTGGCACTCCCCTCATGCATTCCAAATGTCACACATTCAGCTGGGCTTTGGGCAAGCAAGAGAGTTGGGCTGCAGTTCATCCTGGCTGCCCCCAGGGGCTGATGTGACACCTACTGAGCAGGCTGCCTCTTTGCCTCCCCCTCTGGCTCCAATCCACTCCCATTTTCTGGAGACACTGCAATACCAGGTCAATGCATGGGGTGGACAGAGCAAGCTCCTATTCCATCCCCCTGTTTCAAAAATCAATTTAATATACAGTCCTCAAATAAAGGACATATCAGATATTAAACTGATAAGAACAGATATAACTGGCTCTCAGCCAAGAGCAGCCTGAGTCTTAGGCAAGCAGGTTAAATTTCACTTTTGCAGCCGCAGCTTCTGTGCTGCTGCCTGTGTGTCAGGGAAACTTCATCTAACCCGCCCTCCCCCCACCCCCGGCAAAAGCGTTAGAATGATTATTTTGCGATTATTTATATTACAGTAATGCCTAGGGGTTCCCATTAGGGATCAGGCCCCCGATGCTAGGCATTGCACACACATGTAATTAAATAAGATGGTTCCTGCCCCAAAGAGCTCCCATCTTACCACATAGTGAAAGCCACCAGTGGGCTGCAGCAGATGAACAGGAGGGCAAGGGCCTGCTAACTGTGCAGTGGATGAAAGAGAAGAGCCAGGATTGGGGGTTGGTCGGGCAGAGTCTGCAATGCGAGAGAGGGACAAGAGAGGCGGAGTGTGAAGTGGACAGAGTCAATGACTGAGATAGTGGAGGAGAGAGGAGAAAGGGCGAAAGCAGGGGACTTAGAGCAGAGGAGAAGTCATGGATGTTGATGGACTGGTAAGGAGCGTAAGAAGAGACTGGTGTGAGCAGTGTAGAAGTCAACAGGGAATCCAGCAACGGAGAGTGCAGGTTCAACAGGGAGGGGAGGATGATGAGACAGGAGGCTGGGGCTCCTGGGTTCTTCTTATTTGTCTTCTGATTTATGAGCCTTTGGGTTCATGTTTTCAGGCTTTTCTATGCAACCATTAGGGTAGAAACTTAATTAAAAAAAAAAATGAAAGCTGAGATTTTCATCTGGTCACCTGACTCCTGGAGCTGGGACTGTAAGAAAAACACCAAATATCATAAGAATCATGAAACCATGAGAGTTGGCAATACTGAAATGTATCTGTATAAAGTTCTAAGTCATACAATTGCTTTCCTCCCCCCCCTCCCCCCCCCGCAATACCTTTGATAGCACAGAAAAGTTTCATTTTTGCTTCCTTGATTGGAAAGTTTCTATGCATCATTGGGGGCAGCCAGTGTCTCAGCTGGGACATATTACATACAGAGCAGCAGGGCACAAACCAAAAAAGGTCCTGCTTCTTGTTAGCAGGACAGTGATTCTACAAAGCCCAACAAATACAGATCCCTAGAAAATTCTGAAATGTACAATACAGTTAATTTTTTTTTGTTTCTCTTTGTGATTGGAGGATTTCTCTGTGTATCAATATAGTCATCGATGTGCAGGGCCGGCTCCAGGCACCAGCTTGGCAAGCAGGTGCTTGGGGCGGCCTCTCCGGAGAGGGGCAGCAGGTTCAGCTATTCGGCGGCAATTCGGCGGACGGTCCCTCACTCCCGCTCGG